GTAAGCCTACACTTCAAATATATTGTATGAAAGGCAATAAACCAACGAATGAAACTAACCTAAAAATAAACTGAATGCATTTACGCTCTACCAGGCTCGAGAAATTAGGAAAGATAGTGACGTGAACAAAACCATGGACATTTTTCGCCTTTACGGAAGTTTCCTCAAACCATCAAACCCACCACCTTCTTAACTGACCATCTAAACCTATTCATAAACCAGGAACAAGTAGACTGAAACGGATATGATCACATTGTCTCTTTGATTCGGTTCACTAAACTTTCCTATCTTTTTTTAGTTGCAGCAGCTTTGGAAAGGGTGTTAAACATCTAAAAATATCAAGGAGTTTCCTTTCTGTTTCATGAAAAAAGTGAAGGGATGATTGGGGGTTTTCATTAAATTGAACAAGATGGGGTATAAACTTAAGAAATATTCTAAAAATACAAATCCAAATTATCTTTATGAATCGGTATGTTGAACTTTTGATCCAACATTGTATATAAATGATTTCCAGTCAATCTTTCTCAACAGTCACTTGATGTTTACACACGATCTTACCTTCAAGAAGTTTGCTAGAGAATTGTGCACGCTAGACACTTCACCAAGGGATACATTCGAGACATACAGCATTCTTCTAGACTGAACATCATACCATACTGAATTTTAATTTTCTGCAGGCTGATATCTACGTTCAAAGATCGCTAATCATGAAGGTATGTTTAAATTGTTCATCTAAGAAATTTTTGAGAAAGATGGAAATTTATGAAAATGTTAGTACAAAACACGACAGTAGACAACTACCAGCATGAGCATTCGAGTTCAATTTCGCCAGGGAGCTTACGTAGTTTGCATTGCTCGAATATCAACTTCCTAAACATGAATATGTTGCGAGTGGCGGGTACCCGAATATGTTTTTTTTTTTTTTAAGTATTCAGTTTTATAGATATGGTTGATACTTTGGTTACAGCCTTTCTCTCCTCTGTGACAAACTTTGTTTAGGCCGACGGAGGCTTAACTAGATGATATATTAATACTAATACTAATAATACTAATAATGATAATAATAATGATACTGATAAATAACAAAATTATTAAATTTCATTATTAGAAGTCACTTCTTTATCAGACAAATAGACAACCGAATAAAATCATTAAAGTGTTCTGGTTATATCAAGACTCATTCTCTGTTTCTTTTTACATCTAGCTGGAACTCATGATGACTGTATTGTGTTTGACTGCGATGAGTATTAGCAATCCAGTAAGTAGTCAACATTGTCCTGTTAGCAGAACTGAATACCTGCCTTCTTATGAGGATAGTGACCTTCTCTTAAGAACTGATTCTGACGCTGTAGGAGTCCATCCAAGAAATGTCCTCCACTACCAATCCGACGTCGAACAACCAGCCTCTGAGCTTCAATGTCGTGATCCACTCTCTCAACCTGGTGCTCTACGATCACCACAGAATGCTGGTCTATGTCCATGGGAGTACATAGCCGACCATAATGCCACCAGGATCCCACAAACTATCTATAAGGCAAGATGTCTTAGTTGTACAGGTGAATGTATTAATCCAATGACCGACAGTTCTTCGACAATACATAGGTTATTTTCAAGATGCTCTGAGGTCTATCATAATATCAAAGTTCTTGTAAGATCGGCTAACTCCTGTATTGGTCAAACTGGTTTACTTCAATATGAAGAGCATGTCTTGAGTATACCCGTAGCTTGTGTATGTACGCGGTTTGGTTTCTTGTGATTTATCTTTACAGCCCTTTTTCTACACTGGACAGTATTCTGAAACTAATTCCTTTTATCCACTGGACAGTATTCTGAAACTAATTCCATTTTTCCACAGGACAGTATTGTGAAACTTTATTCTTAAATGTACTGATCAGTATTGTTAAACGCTAGCTCAAAAACCAGTATTTCTACATTATTTCAAATGTTGATAAGTGCTAAAAGATAATATGCGTAACGATATACTTATGTTTAGTGTTCATTGTTGATTCATCTTCATATTTCAAGACTGTCATAAATTGAATATATATTGTGAGACTCTGTATCATGTACATTTTTGTTTACATGAATACATATGTATATGTAACTTTCGTTTTAGAAAGATGAGTTGTTGAATACTGAAATCCAAACTAGGTATGTCTGGTATAACAAAATAATCACTCTGCTACTCAAATTATATCATAAAGAACGAATGTTGTTCATCGTATTAAAATGATACTTACTCGCTTAAAGTCGACGCGACTGAAATCAGTTCCATCTCAGTATTTGTTTTCCCCTAATCGATTGTCAGGGGGGGGGGGGGGGGGGGAGGGAAAAAGAAAGAAGAGAAAGGAAGAGATGAAAGTGGGAGAAATAGAGCAGATAACAGGAAGCAGTGGAATGAAACATGAAAGCAAGATGCTTTCCTCTCACACGTTTACTCTTAATTCAATAGGACTTGTATTTCTGTATTTTCTGTTCGCTGAAAAGTGGGATTAATGTTAGAGATGGACTGATGATGTCGTATATTAAGCTCTTGTATTGTACTCACTGTGTGAGGTATAAACACCGCTTCTACTTCTTATGTTAAATATAATGTTGTATTTAATCTTTTAATTCATAATAATAAAAAGCTTTTGTATTTTTATATAATAATAATAATAATAATAATAATAATAATAATAATAATAATAATAATAATAATAATAATAATAATAATAATAATAATAATAATAATAATAATAATAATAATAATAATAATAATAATAATAATAATAATAATAATAATAATAATAATAATAATAATAATAATAATAATAATAATAATAATAATAATAGTGTAAACTTATAGAGCGCACACACCGTCCAGGGACGCTCATGGCGCTAGCTCAACAACAGTTCTCTTTGATACAAGTAAAGTAAATAATTTTGCAATATTTTTTGCAATATTTTGTTATAACCTATTTCAATCCTCAGCTCTGCCTGATGAATAATAAGTTATTTTCGTTAATCAAACTACAGTTCAATCATTTTAAAGTGACAAAATTTACATAATTCATATGGGAATGAATGCGACTGCATACATATGTATTTTTAATTAATTTCAATTAACCTGAATTGAATAGTTCATTCTTGCGTTTTGCTTTGACTTATATTGTTAGATAAGACTGGAAAAATGTGTACCATCAATAATTGGGTAATAATTAGAGAGAGGGACGCCCTCATCGCTTAATCGGCGCAGTCTTGTTTATACACCTTTTTACTGAATGATTGGTTTTGTTCTGTTTTGTTTTTCACACTTCAAAATAGCGAAGTAATATTCGAGAGAATTTAGAAATCTCATGAATGGTTTCGTATTCAATCTTGCGTTCATTAGGGCGAAATGTATTTACATGAAGTTATACAAAAGTTTGACTATGCTAATGTTGTAATGTTTAAATGTTTTGGTTTTGAAACTGGTAGACGGAGCTCATTATGTTACAGATGAATATTAGTTTGATTAACTATTAACGTCATAGTAGCTCAGAGCTCCATTTTTAAAGGTATTGTGAATGTGAATTCTTTCACATAAAGTTTGATTCTAAAAATATTAGTGTCTGTTCTGGTAAATAAATGTATTCTGCTTAGGCCTATTCGTTTTTATTGAAGAAAAACAATTACAAAAGTTTTTTTTAAATTTGTCTTTCTGCGAATAAACTGTGCACCCGCTTCTCAACTTTACTAAACCGATCTATTATTCGTTTTATTGAGTCACTCAGATGAATTTCTTTACTACTACTATCACCTCCATTGGGGTTACTTCAAACAATGTTGTTTCTTATCGTTGTGTAGTCGTGACGTTACGGAGAAGGGAACAAGAGGGAGCCACGCCCTCCCCTAATCGAAAAGAAAAGAAGAGATGAAAGTGAGAGAAAGAGAACAGATAACAGGAAGCAGTGGAATGAAACATGAAAGCAAGATGCTTTCCTCTCACACGTATAACTCTTAATCCAATAGGACTTGTATCTCTGTATTTTCTGTTCACTGAAAAGTGGGATTAATGTTTGAGATGCCCTGTTGAGATGGACTGATGATGTCGTGTATTAAGCTCTTGTAGTGTACTCACTGTGTGAGGTAACATCGCTTCTACTTCTTATGTTAACTATAATGTTGTATTTCATCTTTCAATCCATAATAATCCTATTTTTACAAGACTTACTGAATGATTGGTTTTGTTCTGTTTTGTTTTTCACACTTCAAAATAGCAAAGTAATATTCGTGAGAATTGAGAAATCTCACGAGTGATTTCGAATTCAATAGGCTTATTAGGGTGAAATGTATCTACACGAAGTTATGAAAATGTTTGACTTTATGCAAATGTTGTAATATTAATTTGTTTTGGTATCAAACTAATAGGCGGAGCTTGTTATGTTATAGATAAATATTATATAGTTTCGTTTTAACTATTAACGTCATAGTAGCTCAGAGCTCCAGTTAAAAATAATATATTTTTAAAGGTATTATGAATGTTAATTATTTAAAGTTTGATTCTAAAAATATTAGTATCTGTTTTGGTAGATAACTTTATGCTGTTTATTCGTTTAAATTGAAAGAAAAAAAAGTGTTAAAAAGATTTGTCTTTTCGAAAATAAACTGTAGACCCGCTTCTCAATTCTATTAAACCGATCCATTATTCGTATTATTGAGTCACTCAGATGTATTTCTCTACCACTAAAACTACTACCACCAGTAACATCACCCACGCTTCAGTTATTACTACCATCACCATAACAGACACAACTATGAATATTCAAATCATTTTTATATTTCCATGTTTGTTCAAGATTCGCCCTTCTCTAGCTGTGCTCCTCATCACCCCCTTCTGTCCCACCCCTCCCCTCTTTCTTGTCTGAACACTCTTACTCCCTTCCTACATTTAAAGAGATACAGAAGACACGATATCAAACCAAAAACTTTCTTCAAGTACATCTCACTACTGATAAAAAAAACTGATCAAAAGCATATTATGAATGCCAAATGGCTTTTTATTGATGGCAAAACATGAGGATTTCATCTCATTTTACACAGAGGCACATGACAGAGCTTAGCTAGATATCGAAAAATAAGTCATCAAATTTCTAACACAGAATTTGTATTTTGTTTGTTGTTTATTTTCAAACCAGACTAAACAACCACGATTAGATTTTTATCATTCCTTATTATATTCAACAAGATTATTAGAAAAATGCATCAAAGTTTCTAAAAATTAATGCATTGTCTGTAGAATTGGTGGTTCAATATACTCATAGGAAATATTATATTCTCAGTGAAAATGGACCAACTTACAATGATTAAAAAACGAAAGGCCCACAAAGAGAAAACCAAAGTACTATCATATGTTACATACTATTTAACAACGTAAATTTTCAGTATAAAAGTACTATCATATATATATATACATGTATAGACATTGTGATATCACTAATAGCAGCTCATACATGTATTACTTGAAAGGAGAATCAATCAACCCCCATAACAAACAACAAAATGTAATAATACATGTAATAATATCTACACGACTAGTACATCCATTCCTCAACTACATATACAGTCAAACCCGTCTGCAGCGACCGCCAAAGGGTAACACAAAAAGTGGCCTGTGTAGACAGGTGGTCTTTGTACACAGGTTCCTTTAGTACATGATTCAATGAGAAACAATTTTCAAGGGAAACGACAAGTGTGGCCTTTGTAGACAGGTGGTCACTAAAGCAGGTTTGACTGTATATCATATATTAAATTAGAAAGTAGAAATGGAAAGCAAGTGTACATAAGCGAGCTGTTAACTTGTGTGTGTGTGGGTGTGTGTACAAGGGTGCATCCATTGTTCATCTACCCTTAGACTTTCACTTGAGGCATCTATCTGCAGAAATATTAGTTGAAGCTGATATCAGTATACCAGCAAAGAAGTTGATAGAACCTACATCAAAGTTTAATACATACAAAGCTAAATATATCTGTGATTGGCCCTCTTACATTATTATTTGCAGAAAATATTCCATGATAACGGAAATGTATATTGATTCATTTAACTCATAAAGTAATGCTGTTTTTTTTCCAATTCTTCGTACTGATTAATAATAATGATACTATTTACAATGATATTGAGTTAGGGTTAAGCCTATATAACCCCTTACAAAGTATAAGTTGTACAATCCATCACAGTATATGGTAAATAGAATGCTTTCACTGCATAAGGCTTTTAGCAGTTATCATACACATAGATGTAATCCTAGACCTAAGGGGTTCATAAGAAATTACTGTGTCAATATTTTCTCTAAAAGCAATTACTTGTTGAGCTACATCTACATGTTAACTCAACATTATGTTTGGTATCAACTTAAATTGTGCCGGTTATGAAAGAAAATCAAATTAAAATCTTACATTATATAATCTATTATTTGCATTTTGTCATATGGAAATTATAGTTCATTGCATAAATTGATAAAATTGATCAAACTAGGATTTAGTTTTAAAATTCATGTACTCTGAGAATACAAAATGTATATCTGTACATAGTTGCACATGCTTAATACTAAGCAATTGCTGAAAGTATATCATAATAATATTCTTTTACTTATGAAATTATAAAAATAAGCAATGATTAAACATTAACATACTCACTAAAGATCCGTTCTTTTCATTCACCTCGTATACATCTCTGACAAATATCTCACTCATACAAAAGTTAATTGCACTAGTTTAGTAAATCTATCTTGAGTTCTGTTTATAAGTCTTGCAGAGTAGTATAAACTTAACACAAATACTTTTGCAAATTGACCTGATCTTGAATGAAAACTAAAATGTTCTCACCATTAATGTTTATGATTGTGTCATAATCAAAAATCAATACAATATTATGTTGGTGAAGTTTAATGTATATACATCATTCAGTAAATTTCCAGAATTTTGTCAGTATTTAACAGTGTATTTAATCGTGTTGAGAACATTCTACTTAATAAATAATCAGCTGTTTGGAATAACAGCTGACAGCTTCTCTTGAAATACAGTAATGATTCTCAGAACTATATATCCTAGATTCCTGTTATCAATCCTCCCACATGCATGAACACGAATGATAACTGTACAATGGTGTACTCCATTCTAAATCTCAGGGACGGAATGATCCATAGAGCTCTTTACCAAAGATGACGCCATGCTAGAGAGAAAGAAAGAAAGAAAGAAAAAGAGAATTACTATCTATCTTATCATGTCATAAAACATTGTTTCACTCAAGTGGAGACTATACATCAAGTTTGATCAAAAATTACTGCACAACTTTGATAAACAACAATTACCTCACTGGACCGCATTTGTCATGATATTAAGTCCAAATATTAATTTCATATGCTCAAAACTCACTAATGACACGATTAGTACATACAGGCAAACTGAGTTCTTTCCTGTCTAATCAGGCACATAATTACTGATTTGTACTGGTGACAAGCCAGTATGCCTAATTTATAAAGCTTATTATGAGACTTTATGCGAGCCAAGATATTCCCTTGCTTACTGACAATACTGTGTAGTCCTAACTTCTCAGATTATTGTCTAATAGCTAGCAATGGTATACTAATTCTAAGGATTTCTTTAAAAGTCAGTAAAAGTTAGAGTATAGTATAGAGTGCTTCTGACTTGAGAAATAATTCAAATAATGGACAAAAATGGGCACTTTATGATAATACTGATTCATGATAGAGAAAGTTATGGTAGAAAAAAGATCTTGAAACAAACACAACTTCTCGAGATTGAACCTGATGTTAGATGTAAACCTCAATTCAGTTAAGGAAGTGGATGGAATTATTCATGAAATATCATGATGAAAACAAAAAGCCTATAATCACATAAGATCTTTGACCTTCGACCTACCTACCGGTACTCAATAACCAATCAAATTGTCTTCATACGGTGATACATATTGTCACCAAGTTTGAAATTCATATCTGCAGTAGTTCTTGAGATATCGCAACAACAAGGCTATTACCTGTAATTTTAGAGATTGACCCCTATGACCTTTGACCTACATATCCCACAATCTAATCAGATTGTCTTCCTAAGGTAATAAGCATTGTCGTCAAGTCTGAAGTTCATGGGTGCAATTATGAATCATGTAAGTGAATAACCCCCATCTCATATCCAATATTACATGTAATATCTATTGACCTAGTATCAGACTGACATACTGTAAATGGATTAACAAACAGACATTCCATCTAAAGAAAGAGCTGACTTACCTCTTCATCATATGATCAAAGAAAAAGTTGGGCATGATAGTTAGAGTAATAGAACGTCCACATCCATCTAAGATCTGAGAAATATCTTTGTCCTGAAGAGAGAGGAAAGGAAAATGGAAATAATTTAAAAATAGAATAAATCAATAGTTAGCAGTATAAAATACAGTACAGAATTAATGGTAGTAGTCTAAATTACTCTGCTGCAAACTGACCAATTCATTACCCGTAACAATTAATAGGATTATATTTCTCATTGTAAAATGATTTGTTAGGGCTCATTTAGTACATTTAATACATATCAAGTAGGCCGGAGTGATTACCTTTTTTTTGCTAAACGTTTAACCGTTAACTTTATATGGCGGTTTTGTTTAACCGCTATGAAAATACACGTATTTGTACAGAACCTCACAGTCACAGTCCAATTGTAGTATGTACCCCACGCCTGCTGAAGTTTAACAGTATACCGGCTATGCAGACGTGGGGAAATTTGTTTACAGCTGTGGCATTTTGTTTACTAATAAGTCTGCATGTGCGCCACTAGTTATCGTGAGTCTAGTCGTCTAGTCTAGTACAGGAAGTGTGAGCATGCGCTGCATATCATGTAGCGTGCACATCAAATCTGCATCCGAGGTGTACTACAGCAAACGCTGGTAAAATCTGATTACTAGAAAGTAAATTACGTGTTCTGTATTACCTAGCTTTATTAAATTTTCAAGTAACATGCAATGGAAGTAATTGAAAATCAGATGCTCCCCTGTAAGTATAAAACTTCTGAAAAATGTGGTTCGCTGAGCTAGCTGCTACTACGTTTTCGGGGGCTGAGCATGGTGGGCTAGAGCTCATTATCATCACCAGTGCACTTTCACTACCATAACAGTCGGTTAAATGGTGTGACTCAGGCTTAGTATCAAGTAAGTTTTTTGTCAGATTTGTGAACATTTAGTGCCGGCCATGTGAAAGTTTCTGAAACAAGAAGTGTTAATTCTCCCAGACCGGGCGCAAAAAATAAAAAAAAGACCTGCATCTGAAACTCATTTTTTTCTGGGCGCCAAAAGTCAGGGACCATTGGGTAAAAATTGCCCGGCCCCCGCTTATGAAAGGCTTGGCAGTAGTACTTAGTAGAAATACAGTTGTAGAAGTGATAAGTAGTAGTATAGCAGCAGTAGTAGTAGAAGTAATTAGTTGTGGTATTGCTAGCTTGGTTGGGAAAGAAAACCTGTGTGTCAAGGATAGTACCACAATCCTTTCTATTCCGAGGAAGTTATATTATAGAAGGGTTTTATTGAACAAATTCCATCGTTGCGGTCTTACAACTGAATTGCCATTGGAATACAATTGAAAAGTACATGTATTTACAAGTTAAAAGTACAATAGTCTTAGGGCTATGACATAATATATATAAAAATATCATGTTAAAACTCTGTATCAAAATTCAATGAGTATGGAAAGAATGAAGGGATGCATGAAGAATAGGAGCAAGGAGGAAGAATCAGGTAAGTAAGAGGAATGTATCAAGAAAGATGAGGTGAAAAACATGTGTAATGAGCCTTCTATTAATTAGTGCAACAGACCTAATCAATAAATAATCTTTTCTTATCATAAATATATGTTGCCAACTGCATAGAATATGAATATAATAGCCATACCTTGAGTCCGATGACGTTTTGTCCATTGATCTCTAGGATAGCATGGTCAATCAAGAGACCATTCCTTGCTGCCGATGTATCTTTAGCTATCTTAGTGACCTTGCCATTCTTAAAGACAAAACCAACATATCCAGCACTGTCCTTCTGTAATGTGATGGTTCTCTCAAAAGGTCTATTGAATCAAAGAAAAGCATTTCAAACAGTCTATGAAATCAGGTGCAGATGAATTCAATTCAATTCAATTCATATTTATTTCATTTCCAACAGAAAGATAAACAAATGTATTACATTTTGTTCATACATAATTAATTTTTTCTAGTAACTATACATTACACTTTGCACGTAATAAAATTATTACAAGAAATTCTTAATTTCGGAGGAGATGAAGTCATTGAGATGCCTGACACACCCACTAAGAAGGCCACACATTAAAACCTCACACAACTGGGAAGGAGCTGGGGGAGGGAGGGTGGGGGGCATCTCTGTTTCTCTTTCTGCAGGAGCAGAAGCTGCACATTATTGAATAAAGAGAACATGTCCAACAGATATTATAATAAGGGCCATAAAGCTTAATAATGATTTGTTTGTGTACTTTTTTTTACATCTTAGAAGCAGGGGAAAAAATACATGGGGGCTCGGGCAAATTAGCCCCCGAAATGCCCAAAAGAGCCCTCAAATTTTGCATAGAGTTCAATGCAAAACAAATTAAAGAGTGTTATTTTCATGCAAGCAAGCTTGAAAAGTAGCCCCTGAAATTGTTAAAGTAATTTTTTCTCTGCTTAGAAGACAAGTCAGAAGAGAGTCTGAAAGGAGAATGTTGATTTGAAGCTGGGTGAATGAGATGACTTAAGCTGAAGGTTTGTGAACAAATTTCCTAGCTTCTATTACACAGGTTAGGATAGGGTTAAAGATACAGTTGAGGTCTGGTCATGCAATGATTGCATTGTGAAAGAAACGGTGTGGAATCAATCAGAAGAAAAGTTGGTTATGTAGCATATAAGCATTGATGTGTACTGCAGGGTTCTGGAGTCATCAAAATGATAAGAAATTTGGCCCAGTCTTGGTAGAAGTAACAAGCACTGCACAAACATGTGGCATAAAAATGAGGGCCACATTTTAAAGCTGTAACATGTCATAATTAGAATACCAGTATGAAGGCATTTGATGAGCCATGCTTTTCAGGGCACATTTTTTCTCTGATGCTCTTCCACACTTTCATTATAACAATGAAAATGCTCACAAATTATTTTTCACCTCTCCCCAGAACGCAACCTTCTCTTTAAAACACTGACACACTGTCAGCCACCAAGTGTTCCATTCTGACCACAGGAGATTGGTGAATAATCACTAAATAGTTTGTATCATAAATAACATTCTGAAATAAAATTAAGTAAATGCTCACAAATTAACTTAAACAGTGTGCAGCTCTAAATAATTTTAAGCATTATCTAAAACTTCACCTGATGCAGAAAATTTGAATTTTACAAAAGCAATTTTGTTTAAAATGTGTTATTACCATTGTATTATTCTATTTCTTTGACCCTTTTTTGTTTTTTGTATGTTCATTTTTAGGATCATCTACCTATAATTTGTTGTAACTTTTTTGATCATCCAACCACTTCGTAATTTCCTTTAGTGTATTTTTCATTTGATTGGTTTTTCTATGTTTGCAAGAAATATTTTATTGTATTCTTTGCCTTTGTATGTTTTTATGAAAGTGGTGAATAAATTCAATTCAATGCAATTCAAATTGAGAAGTGATTATATACCTGTCTCGGATGGCAAGTGTGATGCTGCCAGGGCTAGCCTTCTTCAAGACTCCCATAGCTTTATCTTTGCTGTAACCTGCTACATTTTCTCCATTGATCTGAAGGATTTGATCTCCAAATCTTAAGCCTCCCATAGCACCTGGTGAGTCCTTCATGACAAATGTGATGAAAATACCCTGCATAAAAAAACAAAAGGATAATACCGGTAATCAAATCATTTAAATGAGGCAGCTTATAGGAAGAAAAAAAATGCCTTCTATGTAACACAAGGTTAATTTTGTTGCTTTATGGAAGTTAGCATACAAAGAGATGATTAAAGTTTGAGCATTATTCATGATAAATAAATTTCACAATGAATAATTTATTCAAGCATGACAGTTAACTACCTTAAATAAAAGAAAATCACTCAACAAAAATAAAAGAAAGAAAGAAAGAAAAAAAAAGATGAAAAAGACTGCATCTCTAATATGCCTCAGCCAAATGTTAATTCATTGATCAATGATCCTGTAACCTTAAACATCTGACCTCATGGACCCAAATTCTATCACTTTATATATGTATATTTTACATACTTGAGCCCAGTCTGGTCAACAAGGGTTCAGCTTTTCTTCAATTATCAGAGTAATGAAATATTTTCTAGTATTTTTAAACACTTTAACGACCCCGTGATCTTTGACCTCTTCCACCAAAAATCTAATCAACTCAGACACACTCCATCCAAGTTTGGTTAAAATCTAATCAACTCAGACATACTCCATCCAAGTTTGGTTAAAATCTAATCAACTCAGACATACTCCATCCAAGTTTGGTTAAAATCTAATCAACTCAGACATACTCCATCCAAGTTTGGTTAAAATCTAATCAACTCAGACATACTCCATCCAAGTTTGGTTAAAATCTAATCAACTCAGACATACTCCATCCAAGTTTGGTTAAAATCTAATCAACTCAGACATACTCCATCCAAGTTTGGTTAAAATCTAATCAACTCAGACATACTCCATCCAAGTTTGGTTAAAATCTAATCAACTCAGACATACTCCATCCAAGTTTGGTTAAAATCCATTCAGTGGTTCTCAAGTCATCGTCGTAACAAAGATGAAAGGACAACCCAAGATCATATTGCCTCTGGCGCCATCTTCGGTAGTGGATGCATAACAGAAAGTTACCTACCAAAGCAAAATAATGGAAACCATTCTACAGTAATGAATGGCAAAGGGGGCTAAAGTAGAACTATGATGAAATCAGTCCTTGTGTCTCTTATTTTAAGATACAGAAATGTAAAACACACTACACTTCTACAGTATGTCATTATATTTTTCTGGGGCAGTTTACAACATCCTATACATGTACATGTATTTACCTTACTGACATCTCGAACCCTCAGACCAATCTTGCCTTTAGCATCCTTACACACCACCACCTCTCTCACTCCTTGCTTTATCTCCGATCTTGCCACTCCCAAGTTTTGAGTTCCTGTTACCGGGGCAACCGTATTGTTCTGTGATTGGACAGCAACAGTACCAGCTGGCCTTGGAACCACAGCCTGCTGTGAGGGGGAAACAAGTTTAAAGGTACATATCAATCATAGGTCTTTCATTCAGTATTGGTCATTAAAGGCATCGTTTAACAATGTTAAATCTGAGATGCACGGCCCTACGTGTTATCAGTGTCTGTGATATGGTGTAATATTGAAGCCCTAAAAAAAATGCACTTCAAAATGACCAAGAAGTGCCTCAAAAAAGTAAAAAAATCTTTGAATGACCGGTTTTTATCATACTCATTTTTCCCAATAGACTGTAGTGTTACATGTATGTGCCAAACGGTTTTGAAAATTTGTGATTCCAATCATAAATATCTTGATAATCAGACAGGCGATCGGCTTGTAAAAGTCATGGGCTTCCTGACTGACCTAAAGGTTCATAATTATCATTGCAGCATGCACTAAATCCAGGATTTTGTTTCAGAATCTGAGACAAAGTTACCAGATCCCTTTAAGTGCAATGGGATGTTTATGTTCATGTTTGGTTCAATTATCATCTCTCCATACATTTTCTATGTGAGTCATAAAATCATCATGTTTTTATTTAAATGAACAAAACACATTAGGGTTGGTTACATGGTCATGCATTCCTTAAATGTTATACCGGTACTTAAATAAATTCAACATGTAACCTCTTTACAACAATTTGCATCCTTCTTTGCATATATGTCTATACCATGTCTGGCAATATTTCCTGGAGAAAAAAAAAAAAAATTGAATTTTGTTGTTAATACATTGTGTGTACATGTACATGTACATTGATTTGGATGTATATTGTTACTATAAATTCCTTCCTCATAAAAATGTTATCAGTTTTGGCCAATGTTTGCAAGCATCATAGAAAATTAAAACCCCTTATTACCAGAAAACACGTTCAAAGGTTTCAAAATCCAAGGAATTAACATGGTCAGACCGAGGGTGAATATATAAGGCATGGCTTTGACCTTTTCTCTGCATGCACATGTATGTACCCTGTACAAGGGCGTACATGTGCACAGCCAAGATTAATTATCATGTGATGTATACTGAAAGTAATAACACCATTGTATTTACACAGACAAACTAACATGGACTTTATTCTTCACAATCTGCAGATACTGTACTACTAACAATGACATCATAGCTATATATTGATATGATGTCATGGTCACAAGGTCTTTGTATGCTTCTACACTGTAGTTTAATTCAGTACATGTACATTGTGTACTTCAAGCTACCGGTATCTGTTTACTTTACCAGTATGTGACTCTGTCTCACCACAAAATAAATAATTTAGATTAATTTTCCTATGCAAAAGGACCAATAACAAAAACAAAAGATAAACCTCCCACATTTTAAAACAGTATAACCCTTAACTATCAGTTCTCATGAAAAGTATTAAAAAAAGCCCCAGATGTACTTTTGTAAAATACTCCTTTGACTTTAATACAACTGTCCTCTTACCCTTAAGATTTCATAGAGAATATTTCAGGAAAATGAGTACTCAAAGAATATCTGTAGCATAACAATGATGAGAACTACATGATAATTTCTATCATAATATCCCGCATCAAAAATATATTGGTTTTTGATTAGTTGAGAGCTTGTCACATGACCAGAAATATTTCAACTATTTTAAGGTTGCTCTGAAAAAGTACTATTTGGGAGTACCATTTGGGAGTAGAAGTACTTTTTGGGATTTGAAATTTCTTTTTTAATTTTTTAAAAATTTAATTTATCAAATTTTTTCAAAGCTTAATTTAATAAAAAAAAAAAAATCTTTTTTCATTTCTTGAATAAAAATTGTATTTTTCTAAATTCTAATTTTTTTTTCCTCCAAAAAATTCTAATTTTTTAATTATTATTTTTTTTTTTTGATGCAGGATATAAAACAAATATACCATGCCTTCTTTTCGAGGTACTGGTTAAAACTACAGGCCTCGGTGACTCCAATAGTACAATTTGCTTTGGGGCTGTGCCCCTCAGCATCTTGCGCATAGTTTTGTCCAGAACCTCTCAAGACAGTGTATATTTGTATACTATACCCCTTATGAAAACAATCATTTCGACTTTTCTGATGATCGAGCTATGTAGATCCTTCAGATATGTTTACCATATTTTCATCCATGGCAGAGAGTACTTACTGATTGTTGAGCATATGCCTGCATCTCAGCTGGCGGGAGACCCATCCACTCCTCCAGGGAGGGATATAGAGAGCTTGTTGTCATGACAACGGTAGAACCAGGTGGAGCAGCAGCGATAGCATGGGCTGCAGCCTGGGCTTGTTGATTGAAGTTATCCTGGGCCTGTAAATAAATGTACCAAGAAATAGGTAGGCATATGATTGAAGTTATCCTGGGCCTGTAAATACATGTAGGTACCAAGAAATAGGTAGGCATATGATTGAAGTTATCCTGGGCCTGTAAATACATGTACCAAGAAATAGGTAGGCATATGATGTATAATTCAAAGCACAGCTTTTGATAGAAGAAAGCATGGATAACTCTTTTATTTGTGCTTCACTGGCTTTTATTTCCTCTAACGCCATTGTAGCATACATACAGGTACATGTATGCTCGACCTCATCACGGGAAATCAATCATCAGCTTCTACAGACGAGAGTCGTCTTAAGTTATGAACAAAATGTCTAGTTGATTGATGATTGAATTTTTTTTTTTGTATTTCATTTCTGGAACCAGAACTTAAGATTTCCTTGAGGGTACTGTACATGTATTTAATTTTGCTGATAAGTTATTTATCAAAATACACTGGTTCTTCTTCTTTCAAATAACCCCAAAGATTTGTTGGGGTATAGAGATTTCTAGTTGATCTTACCTGAGCCATCTTGTCCACTTTCATATCTTCTAATGAAGGATAGAGAGACATGATGATTGAGATAGTTTCCTTCGGAGTGTGAATTCAGTAATCTATGAACCAAAACATAAATACAAACGATTGAACATCAAGTCACACATTTGGGTGGGCCGGGGAAAGGAGGGGTATTAAAGCAAAATGAAACTGGTTATATTATAGCCTGAATTCTGTACTACATGTAGACATCCCATTTAAATTCCAAAACCTGAGCATTCGTCAGTTAGCTGTGTTGTAACTACATGTACATGTATACATGTACTTGACTCAGCATTTACTTTTAAGAATTCATTACACAATAGCACGAGTAGTTCCATTGAAAAGTCTACAAACATATAATATGCCACCAGAAGATTACAGGGTTTGCAACCGCTAACAACATTTCTTTTGCTACATGTACTAACATTATCTCAAGGACTTTGTCGAGTACAAGAGGATAATAATGCAACTTATATTTTTGTTTTAAAACTGCACTATACAGTACATGTACGTTTTGACAATTTCTTCAAAATGTTCTACTGCTTAGAGCCTATGTTTTTACTTGTTATGATTCTTTCATCATTACAGAGCTCAATGAATTGATAACTTTCTTCCTGTTTTTCCAGACAATATTTGTTATCTAGCATTTTACCCACTAAATATAATAAGAGTGTTTTTTAGACATGATATATTATTGAAAGGAAATGATGTTTGAGTAAAAGAGGAAGTACGTCCTACTGGATACGATAGTTATTGCACTCTCATTCATTGAGTACGGTAATGGGATCTTAGACTCGTCATGGAACTTGATTTAATTTGCACTGTCATAGTACACATTCACAATTCAGTCAATACACAGGCATCTACCGGTAACTCTACTGATTTTCATCCTTTTGTCACTACCGTATATTGTAATTTACAGAAATATCACTCCTACATGTAAGAGAGTAAAAGAGGGAGAGAGAAAGGACAATATATCTTACGTTACATGAACATTTCCAAATTGAAAAAGAGGAAGAAAGATGTGTAATGATAATTATTGGCCTCTGATTGTCAACATTTATCAAAAGAAATTATTACTGACTGCTACATGTACATTTATATCTGTCACAATGACTAGGCAATAACTACAAACAAATGTTTCTCTTTTTGAACACCATACATGTACATGAACTCAGCAACGTGCACAGTAAAACTTGTATAATATTATTTATATCCAGCATACTAAGAATCTTGCAATCTGATTGGTCTAAACGAGGTCACATGATCAATGATAGATCTACCATCACTTCATGACCGTGAGCTAGGGGTGTGCAAAAGTACTATCACACTGCAATAGTAATTTTGTACAGTATTTTTTTGCTGCTGCACCACTTGCCCATTGAATAAGCATAGCAAAGTAGGTTACGCGAAATGTCAGTGTTTTGGTTAAGGCCAAACTACAAGTCAAAGACGATTAATTTTAAGCATTGGAAAAGTCAAATGCGCGCGGATCGACTTTATTACATGTACATGTACATTTATGCATGTTGTGCTTTGAACATAAATCGCGTAAACATGAAACAAATATCGCTTAATAAGCCCAATCGACGTATGGCATTAATGCCCGCGAAAAGCAAAACCATAGACATGTAAGATATGATATGTGTTGACAAGTTCATCATTCTTTCAGATTTTTACCAGTATTATTGACTTATTATATCCTGCATCAAAAATTTGTTGGCTTTTGATTGGTTGAGAGCTCGTCACATGACCAAAAATATTTGAGCTATTTTTAGAAAGTACTATATGAGAGTACTATTTTGGTTTACTATTTGGGAGTTGAAAAAAAAATGTGAATTTTTTTTTTTTAATTGAATCAATTTTTTTTTTCAAATCTTAATTTAATGAAAACAAAATATTTAAAATCTTTTTTAGATAAAAATTGACATTTTTTTTTTTTTTTAAATAAATTTTTGATGCAGGATATAAAAAAAATATATTATGCCTTCTATTCAAGGTACTGGTTAAACTATGGGCCTCGGTGACTCCAAAAGTACCATTTGCTTCGGGGCTGCGCCCCTCAGCAAATAGTACTGTTGGAGTCACCTCTTGCGCATAGTTTTAACCAGAACCTCTCAAGGCAGTGTATATTTGTATATTATATCCTGCATCAAAAATTTGTTGGCTTTTGATTGGTTGAGAGCTCGTCACATGACCAAAAATATTTGAGCTATTTTTAGAAAGTACTATATGAGAGTACTATTTTGGTTTACTATTTGGGAGTTGAAAAAAAAATGTGAATTTTTTTTTTTTAATTGAATCAATTTTTTTTTTCAAATCTTAATTTAATGAAAACAAAATATTTTAAATCTTTTTTAGATAAAAATTGACATTTTTTTTTTTTTTTTAAATAAATTTTTGATGCAGGATATAAAAAAAATATACTATGCCTTCTATTCAAGGTACTGGTTAAACTATGGGCCTCGGTGACTCCAAAAGTACCATTTGCTTCGGGGCTGCGCCCCTCAGCAAATAGTACTGTTGGAGTCACCTCTTGCGCATAGTTTTAACCAGAACCTCTCAAGGCAGTGTATATTTGTATATTATAACTGAACTGAAACGCTCACGGTTTTGAGCAATGTTTGTTGCCAAAATCATTCAGCATTATTGGAAGCTAATTATAAGTATTGGCGTTGGAACATAGACAGTGGAAAGATAACAAGTGAGGTATTAAAGTTCATATACAATATTCATTTCAATCAATAAATTGTTACATTTTTATGGCTAGATCTATACTATGCTGCGTACATAAAGAGTCTAGACGTCGCCGCGAATAAAAACTAGCTGAAGCTAAATTGTCTGCAGAATCAGAACACCGCGAGCAAAAACCTAGTTCTTTTAATTATGTAAAATTCACTTTAAATAGACCTTATTGCCGATGTGGGATACAAAACAAATATTAACCTCCTTTACTCGGGCAATGGATACAAACTATCATCGCCTCAGTGATCTCAGGGCTACGAGTTCATACCTGTAATGACGTTATCACAGTTTTTCCTTCATAATCATTTTGCCTTGCGTGAGACTAGAAGGGATGAGATTTAGATGACGTCATGCGCAGCGAGAATTAAAAATACAGCTGCAAGATTTTCAACATTAAGGTCGATTTTGCCCCATAATTTCCTGAAAAGGGACTATTAAACGGATTATTTCAGTCAAGTTGGTAAGTGGAACCGATATACAGTGCGTCCCAGAAAAACTAAACCGAGAATTATCAATGTTTTATCATAACTTAGTCACATTTATAATTAATAAATGACACATATTCGGAAAGCTTAGATCCTCCTCTTTCATTTGATGCAACTCATAGTCATATGATGTAAATTTCATGCATGAGTGATTCAAATCAATTTGAAGAGAGGAAATCAACAAGTCATTTGGCGGGCAGTATCTGAATTTCAAAGAGAAAATCAAATTTCTAGAAAGTTGAGTTTCTGCCCTTTCATATGACACCTCAATCAGGGAAAATGAGTTAGGAATGACAAAGTTCTGTTTGTTTAAAGAAGCGCTTGCATCAAACAAATTTGTTTTCAGTGGCTGCCTGCCGTAGCAACAAGCAGAATTGACAGAAGACTTAAAGGGGAAGTCCACCCTGAAATTAAGTTAGTTTTAATAGGAGTAGAAAAATGAGAGAAACAAGTCAGTGAAAGTTTGAGCAAATTCCGATTAAAAATATTGAAGTTAGGATTTTTGAAGTTGTGATCAATCAAACACAAATTGGCAACTCTATGACGTATCATGCGAGCTCAACTTCCATTTGCTCAGTACTAAAAAAATCTAAAATTTTCATTTTCCCTCAAGAAAAATTTCAACCATACATACACCCTAAATATAATAATTGCAAATATGTTTCTATACTCCCCCTGCAAGGAACAAATATATATTCCGTCATCAATAACGAAGAAAACATGATTTTATGGAATATTATGCACAAAGCAAATGAAGGAGAGCTTGTATAATAAGTCACAGAGTTGCCAATTTGTATTTGATTGATCACAACTTCAATAATTCATAACTTTCTTATTTTCGGATGTTGTTTGAAGGTTTCTTATTTTCATTCAGAATTTGCTCAAACTTTCACTCACCTGATTTTCTTATTATTCTGCCTCTATCGAAACAAACTTATTTTGGGGGTGGACTTTCCCTTTAACTCCGTTTCGTTCACAATCAGCCATGCATGAAGTCTTTCGTCTATGGCTGATTTTCAACGAAACGGAGTTAAGTCTTTTGTTTATTCATTTTCTTGCTACTAGGCCTAGTAAGATGTCTGAACGATAGAATCTAGAATCTACGACTTAATTGTTAAAATGATATCGGCCTTGGCCTTTTCTTGAGAAGTCAACATCGTTCTTGTTCAAGTTTTTAATAAGATTTGGGGACAATCAGAATACTAATCAGAATTACGGCGCTAGTTCAGAAGTCTATCCAGACTAAGCAATTCATCAAAACAGTCGCTAACCTAACACAGGCGCGCGCCTGCACCCCACCGTAGACTAGACATCTAATTGTATTGTGCAGCAGTTTGCCGAGAGAAAGTGTAGATCTAGCCTAATAAGTCTTTGTTTATTTTGAAAAAAAAATGATAATAAAATTGACACGAAACAGGTAAGAAACATAACAACTTTTAAATCATGACCATATCGAACAATTGAATTGTCAATTGATGAAGATTTTGTTGATTTTCGGTATGTTTTAGACTTTTAGTTTACTTTACTAAATAGTCTAGGGCCTACTACTAGACTAGATCTAGACCTAGGTCTACTAATCTACACGCCGGAGTTCCGGGACAAAGTCTGGATAGACTTCTGAACTAGCGCCGGAATTACTAGCACTAGATCTATAAAGAATCTAAGTACATTCTCATCAACTTAAAAGTTCAAGTAGAATATTTTTGTGCGCAGGCATTGGCATAGTCAGATCTAAGTTAGGCATCGAGTCAGGGTCGGACTCAAGCCTCTGGCCGCGGCGGGGCCGCGCCGTTATGCATTGGTATTGCCTTTGGCACTGCTTTTGCGGCCGGGCATGGCTAAATAAATGGCAAGCAATAGTCTTACAGTACACCTAAAATATATCAATAAACGATTGCCAAATACATTAGTAAACCATGTTATAATGGTATGCAAGAGAAAGAGGATAGCAAATTGAGAACAAAATCTTACCTGTTTACTAGAAGTACCAAGTTTATTGTGACGATGATAAACTAGGATCGGAATATGATGTCCACAATTTTTCGGAGTAAATAATGGTGATGACGTCAGGGTCACCTGATGCGCATGATGTCATTTTGATACTATTTCGGGAGAAAATAATGGTCTTGGTCAGTGACGTAATGCTTTCGACTGTACAGCGTCATGACGTTGTATGATCGGGTTTGTGATTATGGTTTTCTTTTTAAGGGGGTGTAGCATGACGAGATTACGTGTCTTTCCCGTGGCCTGGCCCCCGCATGTAAATCCTCAGCTTTTCAAAATCAAATTCTGCTGCATGCTTTATTGCTTCATTTATTTGTTTAAAATGTCATATTATTTCTATAGACTAAGCTTTATTATATAATGATCATGTTTATTTCAGTCGATCCACATAACCTTAAAGGTAATACAAAGTTTTGGTAAATTTTGAAAATTGGGTGGATAGTGAATCTTTACAATATTGATATATTTGGATGCCCCTGTGGATGTATTATAAGCACTAAAAAAATTAGCCCCTAAAACACTTCTGTTTTCGAGAAAAAGTTAATATAAAAAAATTACCGGTGCTCCCAGTAAATTTTGATAAATTTCAAATAGCGCCTATGGCCGTACAATGGTAGCTGCGATCATTAAAATCTCAGAATATGTAGTTGTGATATATAATTTCCAAACGGGAATAGCTAATCGTTCGATTTTAGTCAATAAACATTGTTTCATAGCTAAATTAGTATCTTGACCTTGAGAGGGAGCTATACAATATAAAGAGTTTATTCTTTATAATTTCATAACTTTAGACTCGATTTCAATCGCGACAACGATCAATTAATATTGTAGGAACGCATATGCCTCCAATATGTTAATTTTAACCAAATTCATGACCCCATACCAAAACTTTGTAATACCTTTAAATTCAAATACTAACGTCTTGTTTCATCACGACTGTATCTAAGCTCTATACGGTATTCGTCTCGAACAGCAATTGAAAACTACGCTGTTACAAATTAGCTGCTCAGCTGAGTACTTACGGCAGGCACGTAGCCAGAGTTTGATGGGGTTTTTTTTTTTTTTTGGGGGGGGGGGGGGGATATACATGTAATCGATCGAGGTTTAAATAAAGGGGTCTAAAAAAGTTAAACCGATCCTGGAATTTTTTTTGTTGGGGGGGGGGGCACGTCCCCCCCCCCCCCCCGTGGCTACGTGCCTGCTTACGGGGCCTGCTCGCTATTACAAAACTGCTCAGGTCAGTACATATAAGATGGGGGACACACCCACGGCCAGGCACGGATCCAGGGGGAGGGCCGAAGGGGTCTCCCCCTCCCCCACCAAAAGAGAGAGAGAGAGAGAGAGAGAGAGAGAGAAGGAACAGAAGGGAAGGGGTAAGAGGAGAGAAAGGAAAGAAAGAAGAGGAAGAAGAAAAGAAAAGAGGGGGTAAAAGAGATCGGCGGGGGGAGGGGGCGACTGAGGGCCTTGCCTCCGAGGCTTTTGCCCCCCCCCCCTCCCCCAAAAAAGAGAGAAGGAAGGAAAGGGAAGTAAAAAAAGGAGAAGAGGAGAAAAGGGGAAGGGGAGGGGGGGGGGGAGGAAGAAGAAAAGTAATGAAGGGGGGGGGATATCAGTTAAGATTTTCTCGCCAACAATTTGTTGATCCTCAGGGGGGGGGGGCAAAAAAAAAGAGTAGGAAGGGAAAAGGAAAGAGGAGAGCTAAAAGGGAACAAAAAAGGGAAAGAAGAAAAGAAAGGGAGGGGGGGGGGTCAGATGCAATTAATCCTGCCAACAACATGTGGTTCGGGTAGGGGGAGAAAGGCCTTTGCCTCGCCCAGCAAACTTTTAAAAGAGAGAAGGAAGGGAAGGGGAAGGGAAAGAGATGAGAAAGGGAAATAGAAAAAAAGAGGAAGAAGAAAGGTAGGGGAGATCAGTTGCGATTTTTCCCGCCAACAAGGTGTTGATCGGGGGCGAAAGGCCCTTGCCTTCCCCTCCCCCCTCAGCAAAAGAGAGAGAGAGAGAGAGAGAGAGAGAGAGAGAGAAAAGGAAGGGAGTGAATAGAAAAGAGGAGAGAAAGGAAAATAAAATAAAGAGAAAGAAGAAAAGAAAAGAGAGAAAAGATATGCTTTCGCGCTCCTATCGCTCCCCCCCCCCCCCCAACGAGACCAAGCGCCAGATACGCCACTGGACACTACTGGTGTACCCCCAAAAAAAGAATTAAAACGAGGTTTATTTCTAATTCGATTTCAGTGATTTATAAATATTGTGAAATGACATAATTTTTAGTAAATTATACTTTTTTATGAGTTTGTTGGAAAATGACGAATTCCCAAAGTTACAGTCAGAGGTAGGCACGTCAAGGCTCGCGGAACATAAATTGGCGTGGAGTCTAGAAGCCGGAAGTCCGGAAGCTCAGGGGCAATGGACATTCATTACGTTCAGATGAGCATATTTTGATACCTTATTAATGACACGGGTAGGTCACTTATTGGCGTGGGGTCCAGGGGCTAAGCCCCAGGAAACTCAGGGGCTATCGGGGCATTCATTACTTTCAGATGAGCATATTTTGAAACCCCGGAATCTCAGGGATTTTTAGGCATTTTATAACGGTCAGATAAGCATTCAGGGGCATGCCTTAGGGCCCTTGGTGGGGTCAAGGGGGTGGAGCCTCAGGAAAGTCAGGGGTTTTAGGCATTTAATTACGGTCAGTTGATCATATTTTTAGACCTCATTATTTTGTGACACTGGCAGGTCACAATTTATTTTTCTCTCTTTCTCCCTACTTCTCTTGAATATACTTTTTCATAATAGTAGGGGGACCCATGCTCCGGGCCCCGCCGTTCCGCGATCCTTGACATGTAGACCTCTAAATAAGCATACTTCTCGCCTAACTGTAAACTTTACTTTGGGAATTCATCATTTTCCAACAAACTCATAAAACAGTATAATTTACTAAAAATTATGCCATTTCACAACATTTGTAAATCACTGAAATCTAATTAGAAATAAACCTCGTTTTTTCTTGTTTGGGGAGTACGCCAGAAGTGTCCAGTGGCGTATTTGGTGCTTGGTCTCGCTTGGGGGCGGGGGCGAGAGGAGCGCAAAAGCGGCAAAAGCATATCTTTTCCCCCTTTTCTGTTCTTCTTCCTATTATTTTATTTCACTTTCTCTCCTCTTTCCCTTACCCGACCTTTCTTCTCTCTCTTTTTTTTTGCTGAGGGGGGAGGGGAGGCAAGGGCCTTTCGGCCCCTCGATCAGCACGTCGTTGGCTGGATTAATTGCAAGTGATCTCCCCTCCTTTTCACCCTTTTCTCTTTCTTCCTCCTCTTTTTTTCTCTCCCTTGTAGCTTTCTTCTTTCCCTTTCCCTTCCTCCTCTTTTTTTTCGGGCGAAGGGGGGCTGGATGGGGAGGCAAGGCCTTTTCCCCTCCCCCAATCACCTTTTTTTTTAAAATCCCTTTTCTTATCTTCCTTTTCTTCTTTCTTTCCTTTCTCTCCTCTTTCCCTTATTTTCCTTCATCTCTCTCTCTTTTTGTCGGGGGGGGGGGGGGAGGAGCCCCCCCCCCGCATTAGATCCACGCCTGGAAGCACACACTTTAGCAGGCATGTAGTCATGTAAAACAAACACTTGCAAACTTTTTTTTTTTAATCTGAGAATGTTTACTATTATCATGGATATGTGACCCCTGCATATCCCTGCTATTATTTAGATCTGTTAAGAGTAAATTATTGTCAAAATCATTCCATAAACTGGGGTAAATAGGCCACCTTTATGACCAACATCGTATTATTATAATTATTATTATTATTATTACTATTATTATTATTATTATTACACATATCTTAACATTCAAATATTAAAAACAAACAAAGAACAGAAGTATCAAGAAGAAAAAAAAAACAATACAAAATGTACAAATGAAGATACTTCCATCCAACCCCCCCCCCCCATCATCAATTATTATTTCCAATCAGTGTTAAACAAAAACGTATAATTATGTAAAAATATATTTAAACGTACGTAATATATAAACCCTTATCAATTATTTCAAATATTATAGAACTCAAACAGTAAATCATATTGGGATTGCATTACCCCTTTGTACGCTACATGACGCGAAAATCTTCAAGGCCCGAGAGTGTTCAAGCCCCCTATCCCCCCAACAAGACATCATTTTAAAGTGCTCCACTCCCCCCCCCCCCTCCGAGCAGTAACTAGGCTTGTAGTCTGGTCAGCTCCGTTTGGAGAGTTAGGAAAGTTTCATGAAATCAAGACTGTGGATAAATCAAGTATGATTACTAGTATCCTGAGGTTTTTGAGAATTCCGATGTCATGGACAAACAAAAATCTTTCATTGGCTAAAATTATATAGTTTCTGGGTGCCTGGAGATTGTAGGTCCATAAGTCCTAATAAAAGCTCCGTTCACATATGCCTTCCGGTCACAAAATCGTATTTTATTTAGCTAAAAATCTTGAAAATGTAACTTCCTTACTTATTTGGAAAATATATCGTGCAATTTTGTATATTTACGAAAAGCTTGAATGTGGTATATAACCTAAATAAGTAATTTTGATTTGTGTACATGTACAGCGCTTTGAAACTTTTGTCACAAGCGCTATATAAATTTGTCATATTATTATTATTATAAAGGCTAAATCCACTTCAAAATATTCGCTTTCAATAGATGCAGAAAAACAAGAGAAGCAGAGCACAAAAAAATGAGTAAAATCGGATAACTAATAAGGAAGTTATGATTTTTTTTTAAATATGAAAAACTATGGAACAATGGAAATCACTACACAAATTGCCAATTTGGTTATCAGTTTGTGACGCCATTGCCTCACTATTTATCAATTGCTTTATATATTTTTATCCCATTAGTTTCCCTCTTTATCCCCAAAACTTGATTTCCCCATGCCTTTGCCCAAGTTAAATGATTTGTATCGTATCGCGGGCATGACATTTCACAAGATCTTGTATAAACTTTACATAAACTGTATATTCATAATTATTGACATTAATATAAATACATTTGTCAAAATTCACATTTTTCA